CTTTCTTTCTTTCTTTCTTTCTTTCTTTCTTTCTTTCTTTCTTTCTTTCTTTCTTTCTTTCTTTCTTTCTTTCTTTCTTTCTTTCTTTCTTTCTTCTTGTAAATTTTATCTGTAATCACCACTACATTGCTGGTAATAACAAGACATTACGTTCCACATTTTCCTGTCTTTACAGGTATCCCAAGCTGGCTGCCAAGCACCGGGAATCAAACACTGCTGGAATAGATATATTCTCAAAATTTTCCGCATATATAAAAAATACCAAGCAGCAGGATAATGCTGGTAAGTAGGATCATTACAAAATGTGCCAGGGTGTTTTTGTGCTTAGAGGTTGAACAATTTTGCCATTCTACAGTCTTTTTATTGTAAGCTGTATTCAGATGATACCAATCACTGCTGCTGATCAGCTTGGCACAGTGAGTTCAGCAGGCTTAATTAGACTCTCCGGAGTCTAATTAACTACATCTACACTAGTAAATTAAGCAGCCCTCAGGATATTCAGTAGTACCTTTACCATCTGGCATGACATGGCTCTTGCTCATACAACTAACCTTCCTTAGTAAAACAGAGTCTCATACTGCCTACTAGAAATGGGTAATCGACCAAGCTACCTCCTGTATTCAGCCCGGGCAGAAACCGTAGTGGTGCTTGTTGACCAGACCCAAAGCTGTGCTAGGGAAAGTAGTGCCCTGATGCTGTGTGATTTGTTAGATATAGCTACAGACAGCAGAATCTTGCCCTAGTTTCTCTTACTTTAAGATAGTGTAGCCAATTTGCTCATGTAAACTGAAATATAGCAAAACATGAAAAGGAAAGTGATTAAATGAAAGAAGCACTTCATTTTTGCTTTAAGAAATATAATTGCACTAAGCTTCTGAGGTTATTTATCAAACGAGCAACACTTCATGAATCTGCATTCTAGAATATGCATATTTGCAGGCATATACTACTTACTTAAGGAAATTGCTTTTCTTCTACAGTTAGCTTTTCTTCACATATGTCTAAGAGAGGTAAAACTTCTGCTAGTTTAAGCCACTCTCACCTCATGAAAACTAATGGGTTAACACTGCCATATTTCTTGAGATGATCCCGTGGAATATTTGCAGTGGTTCACTGATGTACCTCTTACCTTGTATTACTAGTTTTCATAGGCAGAGACATAAGCTATGTTAAATAGCATGCATCCACGCTGGTTATTTTAGAGAAAACTGAGAGTGTTGCTGATGGCTATGTTCAGCATTTCCTATACACAGCAGCTCTCAGCRCTCATCAATGCCAAAGTTAGAAATGAGGAATAATAAAAATGTGTAATTCTTGTGAGTTTGTATGTAAATCATCATATATTGTMTCCAGTCTACATCTGACTCAATTCTTAGGATAGAAAGCCACATCAGTGACTGGGATATGAATTGCACATGATCAGAATAGAAAAACACTGCTTAAAAACACTAAGAGCAGCCAGCTCAGAGTGCTATATCAAACATAATGTTGTGTTAATTTCTTTTGGCTTAGRATAGGTCAGCATTGAATCCCAAATCACCTAAATCACCAGTCATCAGATTGTTTATATTACATTTCCTTAGCTTGAAAATCAAGGGAGTACATTTGTTAATGTGCAGGAAATCAGGCTATGGATTTATAACACCAGCCTATCTGCAGCTGTGAGATCACAGAATCACGGAATGGTTCGGGTTGGAAGGGACCTCTAGAGATCATCTAGTCCAACCTTCCTGCTCCAGCAGGGACACCCAGAGCACAGGGCACATGGTGGAATCCAAGCGGGTTTGGAAGATCTCCAGAGAAGGAGACTCCACAGCCTCCCTGGGCAGCCTGTTCCAGGGCTCTGTCACCCTCACAGCAAAGAAGTTCTTCCTCATAGATGTGTGGGTTGGATGGTCTATACACAACCATTCTTCGTAACATACTGGTTTAGCCGAGATCATGAAGTCTAAGTAACCGGAGCTCTCYATACAGCCTGTGGCTATTAAGCTGTTGCTCCAAAACCAAATTAAGTGGTTGAGATTATTAATGAGATTTATGCTGTTTGGGGATGCTGGACATGAGAATGAACGATAAAATAATGTATGCCAAAGATAAGTCAAAGCTAGTGTCTCACCTAGTGGAGCTGATGGCTGGTCATGCAACAGTTTGAAACTTCAAGTGATACCATCTTTACGGAGGCTGTTTCCTCATGTCCTCAGAGAGAGGATGAGAAGCCACTTACAGTGGAGACTGTAGCTTAAAAGAATCTTGGTGTTATTATTTTTTTTTCCAAAAGTGGAAAAAAATGTTCCTGAAGAAAGCAATGTTTAGAATTTCTTGCTCTGGTGTCCATCTCACTTCTTGCATGTAAAATGGACACAATCATACAAATGTACATTTTTTTCTAAGATCGCGATACCCTCTGCTGGCAAATATGTGAATATATAAAGCAATACATTTTACAATCAAAGCTGAAACATCCCCTTAACAAAATAAGTTTCCTTTTATGAAAACAATTTTCTGTTACAAAAGTGGCACTGTCAGAACAGAAGGGTTTCAAAATAACCTATTGATTTTGACTTTTTATGGAAAAATCTGTATTTTTTCTGGATGAGTTAAAAATAATTAGAAGTAAAATGCTTTTACAGAGAAAAATAGTAATTTCTTTTTTTCTGAATTCAAACAGTACTTCATTAGCCACATGCCATTATGTTTTATGCCTGGCACAGGAGCAGGTGATAACCTTCTTGTGCAAGTCTGTAAGGCAATATGCTATTGATCRTGATTCATTCGCTCACCAAAGGTATTTGGCATCTCGCCTGTTCTTCTTTAATAGTTCCCTGAATTTCTGATTCTTTTTTTTCCATCTTTGTTTTGGTAACTTTTCTGTCTTAAAATATAAAAACTTTGAAAGGTTTGGAACAGGCCAGTGAGGGCTGTAAGCCCAGAAGCAAACATACTCATGCCATATCAAAGTCCCACTACTTTTAAGCTTCTTGAAAGGGAAGGAATTGATTCCAGATTCTCAGGATGTGGCAAGCTGTGTTTAAAGAAAGTGTGTGCGTTTATTTTTCCAAGTCAGTTCAATTACAACAGGCTTGATTCCTTCCACCCCCCATGTCACTCGATAATTTTATGACAGGCTGCTCTGAAGGAGTGGTCTTCTCATCACAGGAATAGTTCTGTGTCTTGCTTAGAGAGCACAGCTACATTAGTCAGTCCTCCACTATTAGCACTAACCTCCATGGCTGTACTGGAAATGAGAAGTGTTAATTCATCTCGTGGTTAATGCAAGAATGGGAGTCCTTTGAAAAATTCACTGATAGTAGTCTTAAAAAATTATTGCCTGGGCGCTCTTGCTTAGGTTTAAATTGCTTAAGTTTTCATAATTAATTTGAAAGGTTTTGGTTGTTTTTTTTTTTTTTTTTTAATATGCATATTTAGAAGGAGACCTGGTCAGAACACAGCAAAGGAAATCAGAACCTTTTAAGAGTTCTTCTTGTTGATATTGAGCAAATCACTCAGGCTCTGCGCAGTAACAAGGGCAGTAACAATTTATCTATTCATTCAAGAAGCATGAAATTTAATTAAGTGGAATACTGTGTACATATTCTGCATTATGATTATTATTTTTTCTTGTGTGCCTATATACTGTGAATGAAGGGGACAACCTATAGTAACCAGCCATTAACAGTTCCTCCTAAAATTGTGAGTTCTTTGGCTTGTAGAATGAGCCCTTTGATTACATTTATGAGTTTAAAAAGTTGTTCTTGAATTGAGTTCTTAGGGGGCACTAGCTCCAGTGTGGGTGGGCGCATTCATTAGTGGTAYGGAAGGATATTTTACTGTACAGCTCTTCAGAAGGCTCTGAGCTGGGAGACCACCAACATGATTTCATTCATTGGAATTTCCAGCCGTCTGACCAGAGGATTCCACTTGTCTGGTTTGGATTTACATCAAGGAGCCAAAAATAAAAGAACATGTAAATCATTAATTTACATGCGATTAAATACCGTTCACCTCCATCAGTAGCTGCATCACACTTTGTGGTTAAGCATGTGAGGTGGGAAATGCCTCTCTTTATGTGCTATGTGTGCAGTTATATAACAGATATGCTCRCACAGATACAGGCCTTGAATCTTAAGCTGACCTACATCAGTTTTATGCTACTTCAACTTCACTGAATTTTATGGAGCTCTTCCGTCTGGGAGAGACGGGCCCACGATATCGGCACAGGCACAGACTGGGCATTGTGCTCCGATCCCTTCTAGAAGCCACCACATACCTCCTCAAATAAGCAGATAAACACTTCAGAAACCTAAGTAGGAAACCTAGARTAATGATAGTGACTTTGTGGTGCAGATCCTTCCTACTTGTGAGTTTAGGTTTCCTGATGCTATGGGTCAGCCTGTGTCATCCTGGTGGGCATGGTCTAGTCTGCTCTTTGGGCATGGTGGAGCAAAGCATGTTTCTCCAAGGCACCTCTGTGCATGGTGCTTAAGGTCCAGCATGTGCCTTAAGTTGTCCTACACCATAATGATTTTAAGTTTTCTCTGTCATTCAAACAAGGAAGACTGGAACTAGATTTAAAATAATTTTAGAGAAAACGGCTCGCTTCGTGATGAGCTTGATACCTACAGATGGTTTCAGAATGATAGATCTTTAACTGCTGCATTTTGAAGCAGAAGAAAGTACCTTTCAGAGTATTTTAAACAAGTTTTATGTCTCCATCTGAGCTGAATACAGTTGGGTTCACAGTAACTAAAGTGCCTGGCAGCATTACAAAACCAGACGTAATATAAAAAATACCCACTCTTTAAAGCATACGTAAAATAGCTTTTCTGCAACATTTGTGGCCCATAAAATACCAAATACATGTTGGTGAGTGTGATATAAAGTTTGATTGCCATTCATTTGGGATGACCCGTATAACTCTCTCATGATATGTTAAGTGTTCTCCRCACTGTCTCTTTATAAAAACACATACATAAAGATCCTTGAAATAGCAATGATAGCTATGTGCTAATTTGTGAGGTAAAGTGAACTTTCATTTGTCATCCATCCTGGATCGCTTTATTTGTTTTTAGCCCTCAGATAAAACCTGATTCTGAAGTGCTCAGAAACTTCAGTGTACAAAACAATTTTGCTTAAGAATAATTTTTTGAAAACTTTTCTCAAAATTATGGTGACAAGAGACCTAGCACAGTCAATATTCTGTCTGGTACCAGTGACAGGTTTAAGGACTAATATTTTCTGACCTGCCAAAACTTAAGAACCAAATTTATGCCAGTAGGAGGAGG